CGGTGCTAATTTGCCTTTGACTCCAAAACGAGTCTGGCCTTTCATCGGTGTCACTTTCACAATACGTGATCACCCACTTCATACTCTCTGTCTCGTCTTCTGACATCAGCATAACTCTTTGTCTGCTCTGTGCAGTTTTCAGTCTCTGTTGTATCAGTTTCACTTTCTCGGTTGTTTCATATACAATCTCGGCCCAAGCAAAGGCCCATCTCCAACTTCTGCCCAGCAAATCGGAGATCTACATTTTCTGCCATACAATGCCTCGAAAGGCGCCATGCCAATACTCGAGTGATAGCTGTTGTTGTAGGCAAATTCAGTTAAGGGCAAATGACTTTCCCAGTTTCCCTGAAAATCAAGGACACACATTCTCAGTAAATCCTCCAGAGTCTGGATGGTCCTTTCTGACTGGCCATCTGTCTGAGGATGGTAGGCACTACTCAGTCTCAGTTCAGTACGCAGTGCAGTCTGTAGGCTTTGCCAAAATCTCGATGTAAACTTCGAATCCCTGTCAGAAACAATGGACACAGTACTCCATGCAGTCTAACAATTTCGTCAATATAGAGTATAGCCAATTTGTCCGCATTATAAATTGTCTTAACAGGCAAGAAGTGAGCAGATTTAGTCAGTCTATCAACAATAACCCAAATGAGTCCATACTTTTACTGGAGCGAGGCAATCCCCACTATAAAATCCATGGTGATATGCTCCATTTCCACTCCGGTATCGGTAAGGGCTGCAATAAGCCTGCGGGTCGTTGATGTTCGGTCTTTAACTTGTTGGCAATGAAGACACTTCGATACAAAATCAGCAATCTCTTTCTTCATTCCCGGCCACCAGAAGTTTATTTTCAGGTCTTGGTACATTTTCGTATTCCCCGGATGGATAGAAAATCTTGAGTTGTGGCCCTCTTGCAGAACTCTTCTTTTCAGTTCAGTATACGTTTGGTACACCACAATCTTTCTTGAAATTTCAGTACATTATGCTCAAATTTGAATCTCGGTCTCGGTTTAGATTCTCTTTCCCCGATGATCTTTTTCAAGAAATCATACAGTTGATGTTTCTCTTTAATCTCTTCAATCAGTGCCAGTGGGCAGAAATAGCAGCTAAGGTTCCACCTTGTTCTCGTAAAACAATTTCAATTTCAATTTTTTTCAAGGTCACAAAGCAACTCTTTCTGTCCGGTAAGCAAACATGCCAAGTTTTCCAATTGATTTCCGGCTCAATGCATCGGCAACGGTGTTGGCTTTTCCGGATGGTACAAGATCTGTAGGTCATAGTCCTTTATTAGTTCTAGCCATCTTCCGCTGTCTCATGTTCAGTTCTTTTTGTGTGAAAAAAATACTTTAAACTCTTATGGTCGGTATATACTCACATGTTGCCCCATAAAGGTAGTGACGCCAGATTTTTAGTGCAAATACTACTGCAACAAGTTCCAGATCATGGGTCGGGTAGTTCTTTTCATGCGGTCTCAGTTGTCGGGAAGCATAGGCAATTACTCTTCCATTCTGCATTAAAACCAATCCCAAACCCTTATGAGAAGCATCACTAAACCACAGTAATAACCATCCGTACCTGAAGGTAAGGTAAGAACCGGTGCAGTCACTAATCGAGTTTTCAACTCCTGGAAGGCAGATTCCCTTTGGTCAGTCCAGTCAAATGATATCCCCTTCTGAGTCAGTTGAGTCAACGGTAAAGCAATTTGGAGAATCTCTGACAAATCTTCTATAATATCCAGCCAAACCCAAAAAGCTTCGGACCTTCAGTCACGTTGGTTAGTCTAGGCCAGTTCACTACAGCTTCGATTTTCTGCGGATCAACAGAAATTCCATCTTTGCTAACAACATGCCCCAAAAACATAACATGGTCAAGCCAAAATTCACATTTAGACAGTTTAGCATACATTTCTGTTCTCTTAAGGTTTGTAGGACAAGTCTCAGATGATGTTCATGTTTTTATACTTTTGGAGTAAATCAGTATGTCATCAATAAATACAACAATAAAGTCATCAAGGTACGGTTTAAAGATTCTGTTCATTAAGTCCATAAATGCAGCTGGTGCGTTCGTGACTCCAAAAGGCATAACTAAGAATTCGTAATATCCATACCTCGTTCTAAAAGCAGTTTTATCAATGTCATCTGATTTAACTTTCAACTGATGGTATCCGGATCTGAGATCAATCTTCGAAAATACTTTAGCACCCTGTAACTGATCAAACAGGTCATCAATACGCGGTAATGGGTATTTATTCTTTACAGTTACTTATTCAGTTCACGATAGTCAATGCACAGTCTCAGTGAACCGTCTTTCTTCTTTACAAAACAAAACAGGTGCGCCCCGGTGAGATACTAGGTCTGATGAACTTTTTTGTCTAACAGTTCTTGCAGTTGCACTTTCAGTTCTTTCAGTTCAGTGGAGCCATTCGGTAAGGAGCTTTAGAAACTGGCTGTGTTCGGGAATCACATCAACGGTAAAATTCAATCTCCCTGTCAGTCAATATCTCCTGGAAGATTATCTGGAAAAACATCTGGGAATTCGTTGACTATAGGAATACAGTTCACATTAGCATTATCATCAGTAGACACAGTTCAATACAGAACACAGATATCCCTTACACCCTTTCTAATCAATTTTACAGCTTTCACAGATGAAATCAGATACGGGGGAGGTACTACTCCACCCCATTAAACACAAATTCAGGTAGAACTAGGTGGATGGAAAACTACTTGTTTCGTTACAACCAGTCTATGGTGGCATGATATTTCGTTAACTAGTCATCCCCAATATTACATTCAAAATGATCATGTTCAAATGGCAGTAAAATCAAAAACAGAGTGCATCTCCAACAATAATTTCACAAGCAGGGTACATGTTTGCACAGGTCATAGATCTCCCAACGGGTGATGATACAGCTAACAGATAATTCATAGGTTCTAAGGGTCTATTCAATTTACGCGAAAAAGCATGCGACACATAAGAATGCGTAGACCCCGAATCAATCAGTACATAAGCATTCTGGGTACAAATAGAGAGAATACCGGACACAACGGTCTCGGTATTCTGGACGTCTCCCGGTACTAGGGTGAACACTCGGCCCTGCCTCATAGGCTCTTTTCCGGTAGCTTTGGGGTTCGGTTTCGGTGTAACAGTTGGTGCCGCTACGCTTGGTGTAGCTTTACTACTAGCTTGTGGAGCAGAGGGACAGTCTTTAATCATGTGGCCCACCTTGCCACACCTATAACAGGCTCCTGATATCTTGTAACAGACTCCCTTGTGATTTTTACCACACTCAGAACAAGGCGGTATTGTACGGTTTCCTTGACTAGATGTAGTCATTGACCCCGTATTCTGTTTCTTGTTCACTGGACTATGCTTGCCTTTCTTAAACTTAAAACTCCGCCTTTTACCCCGCCATTCAGGCAATGGCGTTTCAGTTTTCAGTGCTTTAATATTTGATTCAGCCATCAAGACTCTGTCAAGAACATTTACATAATTCGGTAGTTTCAGAACATTTATTCGGTCAAGAATTACAACATTAAGGCCCCCTTCAAATTTTCTGGCCTTCTTATACTCAGTATCCACCATATGCGGTGCATATCTAGCAAGCTCGGTGAATTTCGTCTCATATTCAGCCACAGACATTGCCCATTGTCCCAGCTGTTCAAACTCAGTTACTTTTCTGTCCCGAACACACTGAGGGAAGTACTTTTCAAAGAAGGCTCCTTTGAATTGAGCCCAAGTCAGAACGGTATTTTCATCACGGATGAGCATCCACCACCTTTTAGCTTCTTCTTGTAATGTAAAGGTGGCTAACAGTACCTTGTGTGCTTCAGAGCACGGGAAAACTTCGAACAATTTTTCAGTCTCCAGAACCCATGCTTCAGCTTTCAACGGTTCTAGGCCTCCCTGAAAGGACGGCGGTTTCATTTTGCTGAACTTATGGGTCAGTGCAATTATGTCCCCATCATTAGCATTCATATTTTGTACATTCACATTCATATTTTGTTCCGGTGCAGTCAAAAGAGGAGGAGGTAGGGGCTGTTGGTTCAGTTATTGATCCAGTCTCGCAGTTATCAGTTCCATCATTTGCTCCAGTCTGGCCATTCTGGCCTCAGAGGATGAGGATTCAGTTTCATTTGCAGTGTTTGCGTTATCCATTTCACTATAAGCAGTTATAACAGTTTTAAACATAAGCAGTCATTTGTTTAATAGTTTCAGTTTAACACGTTAGCATATATTCAGTCATAACATAACTACACACTTATCATGCTCATGAGATGCCCTAATTACTTTTCTAGGACACCCTATAGCTCATTTGGACACGTGTGTGCGGTATAACTCGTGGTAAGTATCGCTCTGATACCACTCTGTCAAGACCCAAACCCGGCCTTATGGGTTTAGCACCGTAACCGGCCAGTAATCCGAGATTACCGAAGGCCTGCTTAACAGTAGTACAGTAAAACAGAGCACAGGGCCTGACGGAAGCCAAAACAGTAAAGAAACAATGCCCAATGAGCTGTGACAGTCTGCATGCAAAAAGACTTTGCAAACATATTTACATTCAGTGGAAAGGTAAACACAATATATATAATCATTCAGAATAGGGACTCAATCCCTATGCAACGGTACAGTAAACATTCAGTCTATACAAAACAACAAGACAGTACAGAAGGGGGAGTCCTAAAACACCCCTAAGCCTTAGCATGATAGGCTTGGAACCACTACAACAAAAAGTATAATTAATAACATTTGTTTATAGCATTTTTTTATGAATGTTATAAAATAAAAGGTATACATAACATTTTTTAATAAAATGCTGTAAAAGATTTTTGAATAATAACATTTAATTTTTTATAGCAATTTTTTATATTTTAATAGCAATTGAAAAACAATGTTAAAGGTTTGCTCATACGGAACTTAGTTCTACAGACTATAGCAAGGAAAGAATGCCATTGAAACCTGAACAAAAAAGGCGCTCTAAATTTGCCGCGATTTTTCCATCAATTTCCATCTCTTGCACAACCTCTCTCTTGCGTTCTAAAGTCACAGCTTATGCTGCTACAGTCTAAGGCATCAGTGCCACCACCATATCAGCAGCACTCACGCCCATCTCACAGCTGCAGCTTCAGATCCAGCTCAGCTTCTGTTCCTATATCTGTCTGTTAGAGATATTAGATATTTGTTAGAGTTAGATATTAGTTAGAAGATTGGTTACAAGTTTGTTAGACAAGTTGTTAGATAGTTAGACAGTTAGAATAATTGAACCATGTTTACTAACAGACGGATAGACCTCAATCTTGACATATACTCATGGGTATTTAGAGAGGGACCTCTTTTATTCTTTTATCATTCTCTAGCTTATTAGGATATAACCACTCAGATATTGCTAGAAAATAATCATCCAGGAGGAGAATATTTATAAATATAATACACTCTTACTGTTTAATGCTAATATATCATAACCACACTTCAGAATGCATCTTCTGCCCTCTACAGCTCCAACACCAAGTCTGCAGTGTAAACAATAGAACTGAGTGAGGTTAATTACGAAAATAATTGGACCACTGTAATAATTATATCTACATTAGTGCCTTACATGCTACCAATTTTCAGGAGGACATGATATCTGAACCCATATATGACTTGTACTAATTAGAGAATGTAAGTGTGAAACTAGATTGGGACCTCAAGTAGGATGGCTTCCCTTCATGCATATCGAGAAAATTTAGTTACATCTTCAGCAGCCAAATAGTGATAATAAATTCCAGGATCTACGGTCCATAATCTAGTCTCTGTCACACTATAATCACCAGACTCTGGAATGTACGATTCTCTTGGGCTCATTTTCTGGAAAACATTTATAAACACATAGTATAACATGGTTCAAAGCTCAATTTTGAGAAATCAAAGCCCAAGGGTGTTTAATTCAAACCCAATTTCAAACCATTTTTCAAGAACAATCCTCAAACACGACATGCATGATCTTTAAATAACTTTCAAGCTTCAAAACATGTTCTAATGAGCCAATTGATTCACAAACATGATGAAAACATGGTCTACACTCAAAACATGGACATGCATGTGACAATTTGCCATGACCTCAACTCAAAATCCAACAATACTAACATGCATGCATGAATTCTAACTCAAATCAACATATAAGGTTATTTCATGACTCAATCCACTAAATTTGACATGAATCATGTAAGAACAAGCTCAATGGCAACAATAGGAAGATGAGTTTCCTACCTTAGTCTTGTATTCAAGGTTTAGGAGCTCAAATATGAAATCTATACTTCAATCCTCTCAATCCAAGAAAGATCAAGCAAAAGAGATGAAGACACTCTCACTCCCTCTCTCAAGTCGGTGGTATGCTCAAAGTGAGCTGAGCAAAAGTGTTTTAATTCAACGTATAAGGCTCAAAAGTGCATAGATAATGGCCACTAAGTGGTCTAATTGTAATTAAGTCAAACTTTGCAATTAACCCAATATTTAATCTAATTTAATCATACCTAATCAGTTTTCAGATAAATACACTATAAAATCACATTAATTCTAAGGATCATAGAACACTAGTCAATGTCGGATTCGGCCGCCGATAAGGCCTTCAATTAACAGGTTAACCACTAAAACATGAACAGATCAAGTAAACAATCAAACAGATAGAATACAGATTAACATATACACTCAGTCAATTCAATTCCAATTTTCAGTCAGTCAGTTCAGTACTTTAATCAGTTCAGTTATCAGTCATGATCAGTTCAGTTTAACGGTAATCAATGTTTATCGGTAAGCAGTGGTGAGGGTTATTACATTCTAGTAATCGGTGAATATGTGTAAAAGTAATCAAGACTTTCTTTTTGTCTAAAACCTTTGACCACAAGTCTTGCCTTGTATTTGTCAATTAATCCATCCGCTTTCATTTTTCTTTTGAAAATCTACTTGTACCCAAGAGGTTTACAACTTGGTGGTAAGTCTACTTATTCCCAAATGTGACTTTACAATATGGATTCAACGTCACTGTTTACAGCTTCTTTCCATAAAGGAGCATTAGGACTGGACATAGCCTCTTTAAATGTTAAAGGCTTATTTTCTAACAAAAAAGTTAGAAAATCTGGATCAAAAGATTTTGAGGTTCTAGCACGTTTACTAGGCCTAAGTTCCTTTTCCTCATTTTGATCTATCTCTTGTTCTTGATCTTGTTCTTGATCATTACTAGTAATAGCATCATGAGATTTTTTGTTAGTACTAGTCTCTTGTTCAGTCTTGTTTGGAAACACATGTTCAAAGAAAAACGCATTCCGAGATTCAATAATAGTATTTACACGCATTTCGAAATGTTCTGACTTATGAATCAAAAATCAATATGCACTACTATTCATGGCATAACCAAAGAAAAAGCAATCAACAGTTTTAGGACCTATCTTAGTCTTTTTAGGACTAGGAATAGCCACTTTAGCCAAACACTCCCACCCTTTTAAGTATATGTAGGATGGTATTCTCTCATGCCACATTTCATAAGGTGTTTAATTCACTTTCTTTCGGGGTACTTTGTTAAGTATATAATTAGCAGAAAGTATTGCTTCCCCCCACAAGTTCTGAGGTAATCCAGAACTTATTAACATGGTATTCATCATTTCTTTTAAAGTCCTATTTTTCCTTTCAGCAATTCCATTTTGCTGAGGTGAGTAAGGAGTGGTGGTTTGATGAATTATTCTATATTCTTTACAAAACTCACCAAAAGGTGATTTATATTCACCACCTCTATCACTTCTAAGTTTCTTAATTTTCTTACCAAGTTGATTTTCAACTTCATTCTTGTATTGAATGAAAGTTTTCAAAGCTTCATCCTTGGTTCGAATTAAATAAACATAACTATATCTAGTATAGTCATCTATGAAAGTGATAAAATATTTTTTCCCACCTCTAGTTTGAATTGATTTAAAATCACAAATGTCACTATGAATTAATTCAAGTGGTTCCGTACTCCTTTCAATTGACTGAAAAAGAGTTTTGTATAATTTTGCCTTAACACAAATTTCACATTTATGATTTAAATCAATGTCAAATTTAGGTAAACATTCCATATTAATTAATCTACGCAAAGATCCATAATTAACATGCCTAAGTCTACCATGCCATAAGTTTGAAGACTCAAGCAAGTAAGAAGAAGATGTATTTTTATTAATAACAGAGGGTACAACAGTCATTACATTCATTTTGAAAAAGCCATCAGACATGTAACATTTTCTTGCATATATCCCGTTTTTGGTAAGTACAAACTTGTCACTTTCAAAAACTAGCCTAAACCCATTTTTACTCAACAAAGATCCGGAAACAAGATTTTTGCGAATGTCCGGTATATGCAGCACATTGTTGAGAATGAGTTCCTTTCCATATGTTATCTTCAGAATAATCTTTCCTTATCCTTCAACTTTAGAAGTTGAGGAGTTGCCCATAAAAAGTTGTTCACCGTTGTCCACTGTAGAATAAGATGTGAACAGCTTTTTGTCAGCCCAGATATGGCAAGTAGCACCAGTGTCCACCCACTATTCTTTAGGATTTCCGACAAGGTTTTCCTCGGAAACAATTGTAGAAAGATTTATGTCATCTACACCATTGAAAATATTGTCCACTTCGGTCATATGGCTTTAAACATGCTTCTTGCTTGTTCTTCTTTTACATTTACCTTTGCTACGACAATCTTTGGCCCGATATCCTTCTTTGTCACAGATGTAACACTTGCCATTAAATTTGTACTTCTTATTTTCCCCCCTTTTAAAGCCTTGTGCGAAACTTTCTTCAGAAAACTTTCGTTTCTTTGCTTTTGGAGTATGTTCCACCACATTTGCCTTTGACTCCATTAGATGCTTACCAGTCTTCTTTTCTAAATTGCGGTTGTCTTCCTCAATCCTCAAATGCACAATCAATTCTTCTAAAGACATTTCTTTGCGCTTGTGTTTGAGGTAGTTCTTGAATTCCTTCCAGCCTTGTGGTAATTTTTCAATTAAGGCTGCAACTTGGAAGGATTCACTGAGAGACATGCCTTCTACGGGAATATTATGCAGAATGAGTTGGAGATCTTGAACTTGGTTGATCACAGTCTTAAAATCAACCACCACAAAATCTAGGAATTTGTCGACCACAAATTTCTTTGAGCCGACATCTTTTGTTTTGTATTTTTTCTCGAAAAACTCCCAAAGTTCCTTTGTTGTATTGATAAGACTGGAGACGTTGTATAATGTGTTGTCAAGTCCGTTCAAAATGTAGTTGCGGCAAAGGAAATTAGCGTGTTTCCAAGCATCGACTGCAGCAACCACTTGCCGGTCAGTTTCATCCTCGTTCAGAGTAAGAGCATTCTCACGGAGAAAACGAGTATGGTTCAAAATTGTAAGATAGAACAGTATTTTCTGCTGCCATCTTTTAAAATTAGTTCTTGAGAACTTCTCTGGCTTCTCACCATGATTGATTGGCACAGTCATAACAGGAAGGGTTGGAACAATTGCAGTCACCACGCTAGTACTTGTTTGAGCATTAGTTTCAGTAGACATGAATTCTAAATTATAAAACAAAATTATAATTAGAATTTTAAATTACATAGAAAATTTAAACCAAAACCACAAAATTAAATTCAGTAAAAATAAAAGAAACAAGAAATGTGACTTTTATTTTTCAATTCATTTGAAAATAAAATAAAATTTTATTTAACCAAATTAATTCCACACAGAAAATTAAATTTCTATAACACTTCAATAATTAAAATGCTAAAACAGAATTTTAATTAATGAACACTTAGAAATAATTTCTGAAAACCAAAAATTAATTTCTGACAAAAATTCTATAAATAGATATTCTGAATTGCTAATGACACTAGTATATTACTACTAGTTGTCAAAGAAAATAGGCAGTATATTACTACTATCTGTCAAATAGTATATTACTACTATTTGTTTTTCAACTAGAATATTATTTTGTAAAACTATAGAAAATAATTTTTGTAAGAAGAAGAAAGAGAAAAGGAAACAAATGAAAAAATTTTGTAAACAGAATAATTCGAGTTTATCTTAAGATTGTTGGAACAATCTTCTGTGTACAATAAATAAATTGAAACTAAATCAAACAAATAAAATAAATAATGTACCGAATTTATTTTATCGTACCGAAGAAATAATAAAAAGATCAAGTCGAGTGTGTGACACTCTGTCCTTAAGACAAATTCGTCCCACTACGGTGCTTACGGATAAATACCGTCTATCTCCCAGGATACAATGATTTTCAAAAATTGTAGTAGTACTCCAAACAATTTGTTCGGCGAACAAAACCTTGTGTTCTATACTTTCTTTAATTTTTCCTAAAACAAATATAAAGAATTTATGCAAACAGAGCAAGAAAAAGAAAGAGAACAAATTTTATGTGGATGATTATCAGACTATTTTCAATCCTTAAACTGCTGGAATTAAACTGGTATTTATAGGCAAAAAATCCTGTCCGAACATGTGCTATAAAAAATTGAATAGATATGAAACTGTTTGAACAGATTGAATTCAAATTTTGA